TGACGAGAATGGCAAGATGTTAGGCCAGCGTATTCTGCCCCTTGACGGTCTCCAGGCTGGCTATCGTCATATTTCCTTGCGTACAGAAGGCAACTTCCCAATGTCTCTTCCCATGTTGTTCTGTAATATTGAACTCAAAATTTATGTACCTGATGGTCTTGGCGGTGAGTTGGCTTATTTTCATTGTTTTTTAATTAATTCTCTTTGTGTATTGAATTGAAACCTTAATATGATAAAAAGAATAATAAGGGATTTTGAATATATTTTATAGATTTGATATGATGTCTCAAGATTATATCAATATCTGTATAAGGTTCAGAAATGTTTATCAAACCCTTAAACAACTTGACAGATCTCATGGATGCCCTCTCTGATCCTCGGGCTTTCTTGAGCGCCCAAGAGAAGCGAGAACAGCAGATGAAGGCCATGGGTATTGAGGCATCAGATATTGACACAAAAGCCCTGAAAGGTGGAAAGGGAGGTGCTAAGACAGGTGCAGCAGGAGGCAAACCAGCTGCAGGTGCTGGCGGTGCTGCTGGTGCCAAGAAAGAGGAAGAAGTCCGTAAGTTATTTCTAAGTTTTCCTTATCCTGACTTGAAATAGGAAAACATTGTGATATGACTCATAGGCTCTCAGTTCCATTTGGATGAGAACCCTGTAATTTACACCTCTATAAGTTCTAAATACTATTTATTCAAGCTAAAATACATTTTGTTTTCAATATGTATAAACCAATTTATAAAACATTGTAGCCATGTGTTCTATGTATTGGTAAGTAATTTATCAATTCGTGATTACTTCAGATGCTAGATATTATTGAGAATTACCATGTATGAAATTGTTACTTAATTTATTTTGCCTAAATTATTCAGAATTAATGAAAATATTGGATAGACACAGTTTTTGACAGATTCAGCAGTACACTTTTCCTACATTCTAATAGAAAGGCTTGTAATTAGTTACTCAATTTAAATCCATGTTTGAGTTGCATGTTGTATGTCCTACCTGTACACTGTTTTTCAAAGCAGGTTTTGCCACAATAATAGTCGTGGCTCTTACCAAAGATATGCCTGTAGAGTAACACTGATTCCATCCTGGTGTTAACATTGAGCCTCTACATACTTAATTTTGTAATACATATTACAGAACTCATCACCCCACAGTGCTTAATTAGTTTCCTCTCCTAAAATTCTTAACAAGAAAGACAAGAAGCTGTGTTGTGGTAATGTTATTAGAGAGTTACAGAAAAAGCCATAGAATACTGTTTACAAGACAATAGGAAATCTGCATTACTAGAATACACACAACTAGAACCCCTTAAAATTAATTATCCTTTAATGGGAAAAAAAGGAGAATAGAATACCTTTCTGGCATTCGGTCAGAAAATGCTAGATTATTTTAGTCTTAGTCTATGTTTTATGCTTTTAAGATACATATATACACATTTAATCCTCTGTATCATTCTCCTTTCAGTTGACTTTGAGCCCATCAATCTAGAAACACTTAGAGCTCAGAAGAACTTCTTGAAGGCAACTAAGAAGCAGCAGAAGGAACTTGAAAGTATGAGAAAAAAACACATGAAGGAACGCTTGTCTATCCAGAAGGGTCAGTGCAGTGCTATTGAAAAGGTTGCTAAGGGCAAAAAGTAAGTGGAGCCATGTTTTATTTGTTTTTTCACAAGTGGATATAGATTTGAGACTGGAGAAAAATGCATTTTAGATATGTATTAACTTTGAAAGACTTAAAAACTTACTTTCTAACACACTCTCTCTCTCTCTCTCTCTCTCTCTCTCTCTCTCTCTCTCTCTCTCTCTCTCTCTCTCTCTCTCTCTCTCTCTCTCTCTCTCTCTCTCTCTCTCTCTCTCTTTCTCTCCCTCTCTCTCTCTTTCTCTCCCTCTCTCTCTCTCTGCCTGATCCTTAATCATAATTTAATCATAATCTAACATCCCTTCTTTGAAAGACTTAAAAACTTACTTTCTAACACTCTCTCTCTCTCTCTCTCTCTCTCTCTCTCTCTCTCTCTCTCTCTCTCTCTCTCTCTCTCTCTCTCTCTCTCTCTCTCTCTCTCTCTCTCTCTCTGCCTGATCCTTAATCATAATTTAATCATAATCTAACATCCCTTCTTTTTTCCATAATTCTCTGTAGAGAGGTACTGGATGACCCTAAGATCAAGGCAATAGTGACTGACCAGATGAAGCAGTGGTCTGAGATGATGGAGAAGCACCGCAAGGAGGAGTGGGAGATGCTGAAGGAGCATCTTAAGAGTCAAGAAGACATCCTCAAGAAGCTCATGGAGGAAGAACAGGCCGGCCAGATTAAGAAGCTGGAAGGAAAGCATGAACAGTGAGTAACAGGGAGATACAGTGATGAGTTAGTTAATAGAAAAGGATTAATTGTTAATGTCTTGTAAAGCTAGATTTGAATTTATGTATTAAGGTGCAAAAAAGATGAGTTCTTACGGACTGGTTATGAAGTGATTGGTAATAGTATAATGACCATTTTATTTGTCAATCCTCCCCCCACACATGTATGAAAGAAATAGTTGAAGTGATGCTCCTGGTTGAGCTATGAGTTGATAAGTCATTATAAGTCATAAGTACTCTGATAGTGTTATAGTATTGTTAAGCTTTATAATGTTTGATTGGTGTTTAACTCACATTATATACATGATTTGTGCAGCACTTCAGATTTTCTCCTTTTATAACAGTACTTTTATTTAGGACAAAATTTATATTTTATCTGCAAGGCAGGACACATAATCAGAGATTTGTTTGACTTCTGTTTTTTGCTTCAAAAGAACGTTCTGTTTGCAGGGACATGAAAGACATGAAAGCAAACCAGGCAAAGTTGGCAGTAGAAACAGCAAAGGATGTAGCATCAGACAAGACACTGAAGACAAAGGCCGACCGTGATCGTCGTTTGAAGGAAAAGAATCAAAATAACACCAAGAGATTCATTGAAGAGCGAAAGATTTCAGCCATGAAACAGGGCAAGCAGATGGACAAGTTGAAAAAGGTCCACAATGAGCAAATGAGTGCCCTCACCAAGGATATCCAGATGGTAGATAAACCTTTTTTTTTTATTTACAAGAAGCTAGAATGCTAGTTTTTTGGTCTAAAAGTAGGTTTAATTGCTGGTCCATTATAGAGTATACTATCTTTGAATGCAAAGAAACATTTCAGTATAAATTCAGACATTAGAATTCATCAACAGTCTTATATGTATTAACCTATTAGATCTGGGTGTCTTGCTGTCTACACATGACCCAGAATCCAGGCATTAGGCTTACTTTAGTGGTGACTTTCTTGGGTGTGTGGCTTGTAGGCCCAGCCCTCATGATCACTTGTGTGTAGTGTCAAGATTCCTTATTTCCCCTTTGCAATGTTATTACCTCTTTTTCTGCATAGGCCTCCTCTTTTTTTAAGGTCTATATTTATTTGATATACTGCATCAATATGGTAATAGACTTTTTTCCTTGCATAGACTCCATATAATCTCTCTCAGTAGTTTATAACTGTGTGCAATAACAATGTAACTCATCAATGATGTTGCATCATTTGCATCATGTTATTTGTGTCATTTAAAAAATGTTTTTTGTAATATTTAATTTTCTATAATGCACCCTGTACCACTGGTCATGGTAGGCAAGAATAGGATCCTGTCCATGGAAATAGCATCCTCCCTAGAGCCAGCACTCTTTCACTCATTGCTCACTCATATACTATACTTATAGAAACAATGCAAAAGAAAACCTTCCTAAATGTATAGAATCTAATTGCCATCCAAGAGCTTTGTGAACTCATGGCAAGTCATTCCCATCATTCCGGCCTGAAACCTTATTTTTTTATGACCACATATTCACATCACTTGGCCTTCAGCCAATTTTTTTTTTCATGGCATGATGAGCATGTCACCTGGATCTAGTGGCTTAAGAGCCTCATCTTCCAATTGCTTTGATGGTAGTGACTACATTTGTTTTTGTTGGTAATATGGGAAGATGATAATGTATACACCAGATGATGCAATTTTTTTCTGTAGGAAGGTTTAGCCCCATACACTGATTTAAATGGTTATAAGAAATTACAGTATTTACTCTATAATTCTTATTTTCTTAAATTTATTCCTTTGAGGGATGTACAAAAAGTAAAGAATTATTCTATTTTTTCTGTACTTCAAATCTTAATTAGTGCTTTTACTTATTTGCTTTCCAGGCCATCCAATTTTATGAGAACACAGAAGCTGAATACAAGATGTGGCAGAAGATTGAATTTTTCTGTTGAAGAGTCAGCCCTCCATAATGTAGCTGGAGTTGTGTTATGGCACACTCTTCACCTCATGTGAAGATCTCCAGACCAGCTGCCTTGGTTCATCTGCAAGCCTTAGCATCCATTATTTCTGTGCATCTGCAATATTAGCCCATTGGTAAAGTGTGTGTAATGTGCATGAAATGAGGAGTGATGAAAATCAGGGTAATTAGATGTGTCTGGTTTACAAAACAAAACAACGGAAATGTGGTTAAGCTCTAAATTCTCTTTGGTTTAGTAGACTTGGAAAATCTGCTATTCAAATTCTAGTAAAAAGAAAGTTAATGCAAACTTAATCAACACAATAAAATGCAGTAAAAAAGAAAGAAAGAAAGAAAGACACAAGTAATGTGATAATGAATTCCAAAGTCACAGAATAGTGGAAATGTACATGTGGTGGTTGCTTTTCCTGAGACACGGTAGGCGAATTAATAATGCGCTGTGTATAATAAGGGAAGACTTTTTCTAATAGGCTTTGTTTCCGCACGGGAAATCTAGTCAACAATAAACGGGCTGGTTGACTTTAAGATGAGTTGTAGCGGTTTCATATATTGGCAATAACAGATTTTAATAACTGTATATTCTTTTCTTTAAGGTTGAGCAATTTGTTCATTGTAAGATTCTATTGTTAATGGTCCCAGATATATTTTTGCCACTGAAAAACATAGCTCTATTGAATGTTGATTACTGGCTATAACTTTTATAAAGAGCTTATACAGATTTAACACTGTTAGCATCATTATAGGTAACATTTCATTTTCCCAAAGTTTATAGCAGTAGACATTTTTTTCTTTGTTTTGTCATTTTGATTTATATATTTCATATGTAGCCTTTTCATTATTGTAGTGGTGATGACTAATGTTTACATTACTTAGTGTATTACATTATTTTCTCAATTGTTGCTTGTTGTTCTCAATATTGTATTACAGTATGCATTCCTCTCTCAGCTTTAGCATAATTATTGATTTAGGAAGTATTACATATAGGATATGATAATTATATAAACATATTTATATAGATATATAATCAATGTTATCCTTGACTGAGAAATATTTTGTGAGGTAACTTAGTTTTGAATAATGTTGATATGATTATCAGACATGCATATATATGCATATAATGCTGTTCAGTTTTTGAAAGAGTCCGAAACTCCTTGTACCTTCTAGTCTGTTCTAGTCAATTTGATAAGAATTTATATTTAGAATATATTATATATATTTATATATTCCACTTGTATGTCAAGACTGCTTCCTCTGTAGTGCCAAGTGTTGATGTGCACCAAACTGTTAATTACACGATCAGTGGATGTGATCCTTTGAATAGGTGACATTAAGGTCCAGATTCTTCCTGACAATACAGTCAAGATCAGCCTTATGAGAGTGTGCTAACAATGGGTCACTTTAAGTGATTGTATTCTTTCCAAATACACACAAAAAATCACATTAAAGTATAACAGAGTAGATGCCCAAGATTGCTAATCACTTTACTTCCAGACATTAATGTTTTTGCTATTGTTTGTAGACAAGCTAAGTCTTTGCCACTTAATGATTTAAAGCATCATAAATGTCATTGTCATTTGGTGATTACAGCATTGAAATGAATACACTAAACATAAAGGCAAAATATGTGAATGGAATTAGGATATGTGGGAGGAATCAGTGAGGAAAAAAATTACTTCATGAGGACTTTGTTATTGATACAGTAAACTACAGTAATCAACAGCAATTGATTTAGATATAAATGTCATTGGTGGACTGAACTGTAACTGCTGTCATAATATGACAATTGAAAAGTCAGGGGAAAATGCTGACAAGTCAACAAAATGTGGCTGGCATTCCATGGTGGAACTTTGTAGTTCAGAAAACCACCTGGACTAAACTGGCAACTGCAGTAAATTCATGTGCTTCTTTGCTACATACACACATCAGATCATATTGGTGTTATATCTTGATATTCATTAAGCAATTTTTACCTACGGGCAGTTTTGCCAACGTGCCAAAGAATCAAAGTTTCCATCCTCCAGGCATGAAGCCCATCGGAAGCAGAGTCAGCCAATATTTTTATACGTTTGGATAATAATGATATTGAGGGTATTTTTTATCATCAGTGTTTAGATGTGAATAACGTCCATTAATGGTGTAACAATATGTATGAATATGTACAGACACACATGTCTCCTTCTATCTCTATCTCAAACACACACACACACACACACACACACACACACACACACACACACACACACACACACACACACACACACACACACACACACACACACACACACACACACACACACACACACACACACACACACACACACAAATGTGCGCATGCATAGGGAAATATACACGTACCCATTCATAGGCACACATACATGTGCACACATGAACACCTCACCTCTTTCTCTCTTTCTCTCTTTCTTTCTCTCTTTCTTTCTCTCTCTCTCTCTCTCTCTCTCTCTCTCTCTCTCTCTCTCTCTCTCTCTCTCTCTCTCCCTCTCTCTCTCTCTCTCTCTCTCTCTCTCTCTCTCTCTCTCTCTCTCTCTCTCTCTCTCTCTCTCTCTCTCTCTCTCTCTCTCTCTCTCTCTCTCAATATATACATATACATATATATATGGATAAATATTTTTATGTTATTTATATACATAAAATATATATATATTTATATGTATGAGTATATTTGTAATGTGTGTGTGTGTGTGTGTGTGTGTGTGTGTGTGTGTGTGTGTGTGTGTGTGTGTGTGTGTGTGTGTGTGTGTGTGTGTGTGTGTGTGTGTGTGTGTGTATGTGAGAGTGAGTGTGTGTGTATGTGAGAGTGAGTGTGTATGTGAGAGTGAGTGTGTGTGTATGTGAGAGTGAGAGTGAGAGTGAATGTGAGTGTGCTTATTTGTGTGCACATACTTATGTGCATGTGTATGTTGCATATTTGTGTGCGTGTGCGTGTGTGTGTGTGTACATACATGCATCCGCATATATGATTAACTTTTTAATTCACGTAAAAGAGCTGCATCACTTCTGGTCAGTTGCTGAGCTTATGGCATGAGGAAGTATGGGACTAGTTACCCTGGTTTCTCAAATGACACTGGCTGCAGTTGTTGACAGGAGCTCAACAAGTGTGGTGAGGCAGTCAAAGGCTGTCACCATATTCTTACAAAATAGTAAATAATTTGTGCCTATATTACTGTACCAACTGTAAAGTCATTTGTACCATCCTCATATATTGCATAGTGAACATGCCATCCTCATAATATTTATAGTACATATTATACACTTCATGGAACATGTCGCTTCAAGTTGTGGACTATTTTACTAAGGTTATGAACAAAACACTTAAATGTATAATAGAATGATGATAATGATAATTGTAATGATTAACTCCAAAGCTTTCTTTAAGATAAGTCTTCTCTATTTTATTGAACAGAAATGATATGTATTTTATGAATCAAAATAGGAAATCAAATAAAGTTGGACACTATTGAATTAGAACATTTGTAGGTTGTTTCAAATCTTGTAGGAACAGGTCCCTTTTGCAGTTATTTATTATGCGTAATAAATTGTTATAAAAATCAATGTTGTTTTCCATTTTCTCTATTCAAACACATGGACCACTTTGTTATGTATTTGAAGTTCAGGAGTGATGAGGCCATATCAGTGACTATATAAAAGAAATATGTGCAAGAGTGAGGAACATGAAGCTTTATGGAAGCCTAAAAAGCACAGTGAAAATGAATCCTGAGGTAAGTAGGCTTATTGTACATGTCAGTTGATATTTTAATTGCTAGTTATGGACATCTAATTATTCAAGGGATACATAAATACTGAGTGATAAAGATTAGTTACTTCTGTTTCAGGAGCAGTGTAATAATGTTTACTGCAGTACAGCTGGCCTGGCATACTCAACTGAATATGTGAGTGGCTGCAGAAAGCCATGGTAGAGAGGTACATGAGGATTTAGAATTCTTGTAGAGTCCGTATGGTTGGTAATAAAGATTTTTTTTGACAGAAATATTGTAACATACCAGGAATGTGGAATTAAACAATTTAGACAAATTTCTCAGAATGAGTTGTGGGTGGTAGGAAGGCAGGAAAGGTCCTGAATGGGTAAGCAATCAGTGCAAATGTATGTATGAATTCATGTAGAGGCTGGTAATACAGTAGATATTCTGAGTATAAGAGACAAGAGATTACCATAAATTTAGCTTGTATCATGTTATCAACACCAGGATTCTTACAATGATATTTTTTGTAGATTTGAATAATGTTGGCCTCTCAATTTCTGTAATAGAATGCAGTTTTATTTTTACTTTTTCTCCAAATATAAAATCACAGTATGAACAATAATAAGTAGCTCAGCCTTTGGGGAAATGTGTTCACTGTAGTATTGTTTCGTGAAATGTCTCGACAAGTGCTTATGCACAAAGGAGTCCGTTAGTAGACCTTGTAACTTCACCTTTCCTCAAGTTTGTGATGTGGTGCCTTAATACTTGTGGAGCCATCTGTGAGTAAAAAGCTCTTTCATTCTCTTACTGATACTCAAGATCATTTATGCCAGCCAAATTTATGTCTCAGTGTATTGCCAGGTACAAGAATCTCATTAATAACTTAGCTGAGTAAGACAAACATAATTGTATGAAAGTTTGTTAGTTTAGAGTCATTACTTTTTTATTTTAAAGATAAATACCAATGAGCTTTTTCATCAAATGATGTTTAAACATTACAGAGGTAAAGACAGGCATATTCTGAATTATAAGTTCCTGGCTAATAAAAAGACTGAATAACATAGGTAGTGTTTATTTCTATGCTACAGGCATGGTGCAGCTGTTTATAACAGGAGAAAACAATATGATTTTTTTTTTCCAATTTTGTTTAAATTTGCTTTTATGATGCCTGCTAAGGCTCACAAAATTACTTATTACATGAACTCCACAGCCACATGATAAAATGTTAGTATAAAGTTACTTATAAAGAAGAGAGAGAGAGAGAGATAGAAAAAAAATATGTTGTACATATTACTGGACACATATTGGTGCTGCAACCAGTGACAAAAAAATCAGTTTTCAACTGAACAACTACCTACAAATTTTGATATAAAGAGTGCAGGTTATATAGCATATTTACAAGTGCAAGATCCAAGAAACATGTCCCGCTTGTGTAGTTTATTTGAATATACATGACTCTCGCTGCTACTCGCAATGATCAATGATGATGCATCATTTGCAACATTTAATAGTAAAGCCAATGAGCTTTTATAATAAGTAGGGGTTAGACTGTAAAGAGGCAGAAAACTAATTTTACTTACATATATGATAGCAAAGAAGCATAATAAAGTTCTAAGTCACGAATAAACTAGACTTTAAAAGCTACAATGAATGTGAACAAAATTTCAAACACGAGGTAGCGCGATAGCCTACTATATTTACATAACACCACCATCACATTTACTGTTATACATCCTAGTCCTCTTGCATTAAACTTACTTCATAATTAGTGATTGTTTCTCTACATCAACCTTCCCTCGCAAGGGGAAAGGAGAGAACTTTGGGTTTCTGGGAGTTCTTGAGATCAGAAATGATGAAAAGTTGGTCAGGTCTGGCTATGGAGATGGGTTAGAACATGAGAAAAGCTAAGACTAAGCTGTCACTAACGTTCCATGAGAGCCGACTGCTTAGAGATCCTAGCAAACCACTGCCATGAGAAGCAATAACTGAATAATGTTTACTTTTTTTTTTTTGTCATACATACATAAACCTCTTTAGGGCACACATATCAATAAATATATATACATATATATACATATATAAATATATACCTATACATATGCATATATATATGAATATATGCTGATTTGAAATATTTTTGCCTTACCTGACCAAATCTTAACTTTAATCTTTACTTGAGTTTACCATATTTACAAGTTGCCTTCTGTACATCCCCAACTAAAAGATCTATGTACGTACATTACATTACTTTGTAGAAATGTTTTTTTTTTTAATGCTATTATCCTTATCTATGTTAAATTAACTCTCAAATTTCATTTCAACATTTGGCACTTACAACAAGGCATTTACAGCTCATAAAATCAGTAACAAAATATAAACTCTATATACACACAGAACAACACACAACTATCACAGTTCAGTGCTAATTTCATCACCTGCTTCACCTTTCTTGGCTTTACCCTTTGCTACATCACTGCCACTGTTATCGCTCTCACTGTTTCCACTAACCTTTGTATCAACATTTTTGTTGTTCCTCAACAGTGATTTATCAGACTTGAACATTACATTCTTACTGTTATTACTGCTGCTACTTTCCACCTCGTAGCAGTCACTGGAATGGTCCTTCACATGACCATTGAGAGAAACCTTTGAAAACCCATTTAGATGGCCATTACCAAAGGTTCTGAAGTTCCCAGTGCTGTTTCCACTGTCCTTCATATGACCATTCAACACACATCCACTAATATATTCTTGGTCAAAGGCATTTGTGCGGCCATTCTGGAAGCTGCTCAGCTGATGATGGCCTTTATTTCCATTATTCATCTGGCTGCTGATCTTGTTGTTGGTTATTGGAATAAATTCACTGGACAGAGGTCCAATAATCCCACTGCCCTTTGTAGAGTAGCCATTGAGTGGGAGGCATGTCTTGTTCCCACTGCCATTTATGTGCATGCTATCCATGTATGAGCCGCCATTGTGGGACCCATTGATCTTGACTGATCCCTGGTCAAAGGAGTTGATGTAGCCATTTGTGTCACTCATTACCGCTGTTGATGTCTGTTGGAAAATGGACTCTCTTAATGTTTATACTTCAGGTAAGGAGGATGCATGAACATTTACAAAGAAAATGTATTATTCACTTATTTAATGCAAGAACTCATTTCATGAATTTATCACATATTACATATAATGCCAAAGTAGTGCATTCTGTTTAATCAGTATTTAAGGTGTTAATATACTACACATTAGGATAATCTTCTATGCTAAGGATTAGGTTAGTTTTCTTTGAATACATTTCTTGATTTTTTTTTGTGATATCTACATAACTTGTTATTAAACATTTTTACACTGCACAACAGGAACAGTATGATAATTTACAATGTTAAGCAATATGAAAATTAAAGGAATCAAAGGACAAGATTGCAATTAATGATAGGAGACAAAGCTTTTCAAGTGATTAGACAAACAATACATGGTATGACGACTCCCTTTGCAAACATCACATTAATTTGCAGGATACAACATATTGCACTGTGATAGACAAGTGTTACAGAAAGCATATTTACATTTACCAACTCCATTATATATATTAGGTGACTAGTCATTTAATTTGTTAGAACCCAAACACAATGGTAAAATATTTTAAGAATTATGACAATTGAAATTAGTCAAGTTATTGCTTATAAACAATGAAATGTATTCATTCTAATAAATCTGTCAATCACACCAAAGAAAGAAAAAAATAATAAATAAATAAAACACATGCACTGCTTACTGAACAAGTGAAAAACCATGCAATAACATTACTCTGATGCAACATGCGAACAACTTCTAATGGCAAGATATGCACTTTTTACAAAATACTGTCCCTAGTCATTCATTCCAGTCTAAAGTCAGAAGTCTGAGTCACCCTAGAGAGAGAAGGTGGAGGAAGGAGTTTCAGAGTGATATATTACTTGTGTGACTGGACAACGCAAGCTTCCTGTCCAGCAAAGGGGGCAGGTGATAGCCCAGGCCTGATATATGTTAAAAGACAACGAGCGATTTCTCATTTCTTGCTATGATTGAGACCAGAAGCATCACCTGTTGACTTGTTAACTTCCTACTTCTACTTGTTAGTGTATACTTTATTACAATACATTATAAGTAATAAGTACAGTAGTCTGGTTACCTGTACATAGAAATAAAATTACATATTTGACTGTAGCCAAAACTGAGCAATCACAACTTTCTACTTTGTATGCAGTACCAAAATTACTCCCCAATCAATTTTCATTCCTCTTTCACGCAAGTGTTTGTGTGCGTGGGGGGATTATTATTATTGTCATTATTATAAATTACGAGAGAATTATGTATTATGTATGTATATGCGTGCCACTGCGGCTCATGAGGTAGGTGTACACATTTACTGAGAATGAGGAATGCCGAACTGATTGTGGTATTAGATTTTTTTTCTTTTTTAGTCCTGGTCATGCCAGGCCAGTAGGTCCAACGTTAATGCCCTCCTATTACCATAACCCATATCACTGATTATATTGCCTATACAAGAGATCAAAGGTAACATCCTCACCGCAGGGTCTGCCGCAGCAGAGCCCCTGCCTCATGGTGGGAAATGGCCCAACCAGTAATGACTCTCGTGCCCAAGGCAGCAGTTGTTCCAGGAAGTGACCTCATACTTACTGCATGGCGCTCTGAATAAGCGGCCCGAGGATCAGTTCCAAGCTGCCTGCACTGCCCCTGCGCGTATGCCCGCCCACAACCCCGCTGTGCTGTGAACAACATAACAGTGTCCTCAGTCACTGCACACTACCCCGCCCTGCCCACAGCTTCTCTGGCTTACCTTGTCTGTGGCAATCTCTCCATGGGATACAAAGATGGCTGTGCCCATCTGGGAATCCATCAAACAAGGACCCTTAGGAATGAACTCCTTCATGCTATGATAAATCCACGTTACTGACACTCTTAAGAAAAAAAAGGAAAAACAAATATTGATGCCTTGTAGACATCTTGCTCTTGATTAGTGACAATGTGAATCGATGGGATATATTAGTCAATTATTTTCTATTTTATATGGAATTAATGCAAAGTCCCATGCAGGCATAAAGTAACATTAGCATGATGGATAATTTCAGTCCAGGGACACAAGTTAGGCATAAACAGGGGTTATATGTGGATGACGGAGCAGTGCCAATCTGGGAGTTTAAAGGGGATGATGGAACACATGCAAGTACGGGGGTTAAGCTAGGGGGTGACAAGAGCCGCTGTGCTGTGGACATAGTGGTGGTAGTGGTGGTGCTTGGCCAGGGGTAGACATGGCGGTGGAGGCACACAGATTTTGACGAAGAAGCAGCTGGGTAGACGATGGTCGTGTGTCGAAAGTGTCATATATACAAAGGTCAAAGGCCAAGTCTTCTGATATCAAATGATACGAATGTTACAGACTAAAGTCTTAATAAATGGCAAGAGGTATCAATAATTTGATTTACAACCATCTTAAAAAGAGCTTGGCTTATATGTCACTGGTTCCATGAATTTGTTTGTCTAGTGATATGAATAATTTTCAATCAATATTTCAACGAATGTTAAAAGCATTACTGATGTTGTTAGGTGCAGTTTCTATTACCCGCTGCTTCTTGTCTTTTCTGGCCATCAACTATAGATAAGAACAAAACATAATCATAAATGCTATAGCTGTCATAAAGCGTCAATTACTTGCAGTTACAGATTGTGCACAAATAGGGATGAATAAGGGCCTTCAACTATAATATGTGAAAAATGATATGCCATAACAAAAAGGTGCAAGTGCTGCTTTTTGGATAAACAAAAGAAGGCCTTAACTTCCAATTCATTGCTGCAAATCATATGGCTTAGGTGCCTTAAGCTCGCATGGAGTAAATAAAAGTAAATAAAAACATGAAAACAGTAGCTTATGAATATCCAGTGTAAGGCTAAATATCTGGACTATTTTCTTAATTGAATCTCCATGTGAAATTAAGGTTTCCAGCCATTGTGAGCAACAAAAGCGGATAATCATAGTAAAGAAGTTCTGGTCTGAGAGACTTCAAAAGACAATGTTGGTGTTCCTGAAAGTGTCTGTTTACAATATTTATTATGAATATTTCTCACTCAAAGAATATAATGGTATAATAATAGTTCGAAATGTCAATGTTATTCGATGTGTTGGTGTAATCTTACTAGTGTACTTAAAAAGGAAGGCTTTGCCATATCATTGCATTTAGAAAGTCAACTTGTGGCGGGTCTTCACAGGTAGAAGGCTGTTTAGAGTCTTGCTAAGGTAGTGTTTGAGGTCGTGCTGGAAGAATTGCGTTTTGAAATTGCATTAAACTACCTGTGCGGGTGTTCTGCAGACTGTGTAGTATATAAAAGTGTGCTTAGTGCAGTATAATCAGAAATTAGCTGTGCTAAAGTGGACTATAGGCATTACAGAGGCTGGTGAAATACTATAAATTACAGGAGAGAGAGGGGGGGGGGAGAGGGGGGGGAAGGGAGGGAGAGAGAGAGAGAAAGAGAGAAAGAGGGAGAGAGAGGGGGAGGAAGGGAGAGGGAGTGACGGGATGGAGAGGGAGAGGGGGAGGGGGAGGGGGAGGGAGAGGGAGAGGGAGAGGGAGTGATGGGATGGAGAGGGGGAGGGAGAGGGAGAGGGAGAGGGAGAGGGAGTGATGGGATGGAGAGGGAGAGGGAGTGACGGGATGGAGAGGGGGAGGGAGTGACGGGATGGAGAGGGGGAGGGAGAGGGAGAGGGATGGAAATAGATGGACGGAAAGAGAGAGTAGGGATGGAGAGGGAGAGGGAAGGAATAGAGAGGAGTGAGGGAAGGGATGCAGAGGAAGAGAACGCACTTAGATAAGGAATCTAGACGTGGAAGAGGGAGAAAGAGAGAGAGACTAGAGAGCTAGAGACACGGAAGCGAGATAGACTAGCATAGTGCGGTGTGAGTGCGCGATACTTACTTGT